ATGCTAGATGTTTCATGTCTATGGTCAATAACATAATTGCAGTTTGTGTGTTTACAAGTAAGGATGTGAAAGTTTATGTGCCTAAAACATTCATTACGCCTATCTTCATAGCAGTGAGGTTTTTGGAAGTTTTCAATTACAGGAGGGAGAAGGTTGCATAATTGGGAAATGAAGTGTTTACGGATTAAAGATTTGAGAGTGGTTTTGGTGTCATCTTTGTTAAGAGAAGTTTTAAATTGTCGATTATAAATGGGAAAGAATTCTTCGAACCAGTCATTAAAATAGTCAAGTGAGTTTTTAAGTGATGGAATGGAAAATTGCGTATTGAAGAGTTTTGCAAAAAGATTAAAGAGCAGTTGAATATTAAATTTGTTGTCAGATTTGATAGTAATTTTAGAATTTTCTGATTTTTATTTGATAATAATTAAATATCTTGTCTAAACTATGCTACTAGCATCTAGCTGCTTCTAGTTAAAATAATAAAATAAAGTCTTGTCTTTATTATTTTCAACTTAGGCCTTCATTATAGCAATAAATTTATATTAAAATTGTTAGAATATATATAAAATAATATATTGGGACCCAAATTTAAAAATAATTATAAATGAGGGCCCAACTTAAAAATATTTATTTATAAAAGCCCAAATACAATCTTAACTTCCAAATTCCCTCACTTATTGAAGACTCATTATTTCTTAATGACTCTTTTTTTCAATAATTATGTCTTCTACAAACACCATAAATACAGCCACCACCTCTTTAAAAGATACACTTATTGTAGTTAAAGAGAGGAATGATGTAAGTGGGCAGGTGGTTAAGCCCATTTACCCAGAAGGTTTAGATAATAACAGTTCTCTAACGCTTAACCTGAGGGCTCTTAAATCTTGTGGAGCCATGCAAGCCAGGTATACGGTAATCGCTATAGAAGACATTTCTTCAACAACTTCAGATCTCATTTCTTCATCCCTCTCTTACAAAACCCTAACTTACCTACTAACAACACACTAACTCCTGAACTTTTTCTTGACAATAACCTTCTTAAAGATGATAATACACCTCTAGAAGAAGAATCAGATAATGAACCAGCCTCACCTACCGTTTTACACAACCAAAGATTCCATACTGGAGCATTCAACATAGATGGCTACACTGATTTTAATACTCACTATAATAAATTCCTTTTTCATCACAGGCTATCCAGTTTCCCTGCACCTCAAACCATAGGCACTTTCCTTCAAAATATATGTGAACACTTTCCTACATTCTATTCCAACCAATATATCTGAATCACTATAAAACAACACCCTTATTATGATTTAGTTTTTACAGAAGGACATATATACCTTCCCCATGAAAATATCTTTTCTGACTATACTACCTTTATACCTCTTGAAGAACTCTTCCAATTTTATAAGTTAGAACTTAAATTTTTCAACTCTTTCTCTTCACACTGTCCTCCAATTCAATCTACTTTCCCCCTTAACCTTTCTATCTGTACCCATAATATTCATGGCTTTAACCAGAAGCTAAAAAAACAAGTTTGGGAGGATTACTGTCTAACCAACAATCTAGATATTATTAGTCTAACTGAAACAA